GTGTGTGTGTGTGTGTGTGTGTGTGTGTGTGTGTGTGTGTGTGTGTTTGCCACTTGAGTCACTGCTTCTGCATCATTTAAAGAAACTTAATAGTGATGTTTAAAATGTGTTTAAGGAGTAATATCACCGTATGAGTGACTGACTGCAGCAGAACACTACAGGCTAGCATGGATGCTATGAAAGTAAAAGTTTTAAGTACAGTAAAAACTATTGTACCTGTTTAGGTAAAGAAAGTGAAGGATCTGAGTGATCCTCTGTTGGTCTTGTACCAACGATAAAATGTTTGGAGCAGATGCGAGTCTCAGGTTGAACTTCTTTTTGGTCAAATTCATCTCGTTCCATCGTTTGAATCCAGCTGTTAGCATTTTAGCTTGGGAAAGGTGAGAGAAAATACTCCTTTCATGTGGGGATGATGGCTATATACTAACACACTGTTAAAAGTACTGGAGCACAATGTTTTGAGCTCCTCGCTGGAGAAAGATTGATCCAGATTTCCCAAGTTTCTTTAAGTCTGAATAGTTAACCCGGCGCACCCTGATTGAAACCGCTACCAGAGTTTGTACACACGAGTGTTGAGCAGACGTAGTCACGTGATCTGAAAACAGCCCGAGTGGAGATCGCCATCTAAAGATTTTAGTTTGACCCCAACCTTCAGATGTAAATCAGAAGCTATGACCCGCTGCTCGAGGTCCTCCACCCACTGGAGGGCGCTGACGTCTGTCTCCATGGCCTTCTCCTGCACCTGCCAGGGCTGCTGCAGCGCCTCCAGCAGCGCGTCCTTCTTGTCCGGCTTCAACTCAAACAGTGGATCTGGTGTGAAAGTCCAGGAGTTCAGAATGAGTGAGCCACAGAGGTGGACGGACTCCTAGCGGGTGTGATGAACTCACCTTGGATGGGCGTGGTGCACATCTCTACTAAGCTCTCCATGTGTTTCGCTAAATGTTTATGTAGCACCTTCTCTCTGACGCCTCTAGGATGGAGGGACTGTAAAGTGTTATAAAGTTCCTCTGGTTCCTTAATCCACCACCAGCCACGCACCATCGCTGGAAACCAAACGGAGGGATATTTAAAAAAGAAATTAAAAAGAAAACAAATGAAATCTCAGCCTGTCGACTTCGAGTCAGAAAGGACTTACAGGCAGGTATGGGCTTGACCACGAGCTGCGTGAAGAACTGCTGCTCCAGCTCCTGGAAGGCGGAGTTGGGCGGGCGGCCGCGGCGTTTAGCGGCGGCCGCGGCTGCGCGGGCTCCCCTGCGGGCGGGGCTGCTTCCTCTGCTGCCTCGCCGGCGCCTGCGCCCCGGCCTGGCAGGGGTGGCGGGAGTGGCTGGGGGAGCAGGAGGAGGAGGAAGAGGAATGAGAGCAGGTGGGATCTGAGAGGCTTCAGGAGGAGGAGCCTCAGCAGCTCCTGTGTGGGTGATGTCTGGTAGAGCTGCTGGCGCCTCCAGGTCAACAGGAGCCAGGTTTGGCAGGAGCAGCTCAGGCTGAGGAGAGAGGAGAAGGCACATTTAGATGAAACAGACTGGAGATACAGGTTAAAGTTGAAGCATTTCTGCGGAGGCAAACCTGCATGAGTGGCGCGGCGAGTGCGGGCAAAGCGCTCGGCACCTGAGGCAGCAGTCTGGGGGGTGAGCTGGGCGAGGTGGCCGCCTGCGGCTCTGTCAGGGAGTCGTCGTCGCACGGCTGTTTGGGGAGCAGGTTGAACCACTGCCCCTGTTTCTCCGCCATCTCTTTCACCGTCTCCTCCGGACGAGCGCCCGTCGAAGCGTCGCCGGCCGCCGCCGCCTCCTGCGACTGGCTGAGCCAGCTCTTGAAGGCGGCCTGCGTGAGGTCCAACAGGCCGCCGTTTGGCGACCCCGGCGTGTCTTCTCCCGCGGACCGGACGCTGCTGCGGCGCCGGCGGCGGATCTTTGCCGTGCGGAGGTGGAGCTCCACTTCGGGTTTGATCTTTCGAGGGCGCCCGCGGCCTCGCTGCGTGCTCATGAGGGAGGCGGTGCCGGGAAGGGGGTCCTCCTCAGGAGGGAGGGTCTGGGCTGGAGCTGGGGTGGCTGAAGTCTGAGGAGGAGGAGGGGTCGGCGTGGGCGCCTCCTCGACTTTGGGCTCCTTTTTGAGGAAGGTCACAGGAACCTCAGCTATAAGAGCATCGCCTGAAGCTGCAAGAGAAAGGTGTCACACACACGCTTTTATTTAATTTTTTAATATAAAACAGACAGCAAACTTTAAAATATAGCTCACTCTCAAACTCACTCAGCAGCTCTTCAGGTCCTTCAACCAGAATTCCTCTGAGGTGAGGTAGAGCCAAGTACCTGCGACGATAACGGTCCTGACCGAGCATTATGATTCGCATGGAATGAGACGACTGCAGCAGCTTTCTACGGAAAAGCGCTTGACGCTGTTGGAAAATAAAAACACACATCGTTGCATTGTTTTCTAAATAAAAGCAGATCCATGAAGTGCTAAGTCTGAGTTGTGTCAGCCTTACTTTGGTTAGCTTATCTATGTGCTTTTCAAGTTCAGGAATGCTGGCATTGGCGGGACTCTCACTCTGCAGAAAATAAAATAAGTTAACGAGACGCTGTAAAGAACTAAAGTGTGACTGTAAACCACCCGAGGAGACACGCACGTCATTGAGTTTGGTCTCCTCTCTGCGTGCGCGCAGGTTTCCCCTCTCCAGGATCAGACTGCTCTCCTCCAAACTGTGGTTCTCTTCCTCAGCCACTCTGGCGCTGCGTCTCCTCTCCTCGAAGCACAGCTCCTCCTCGGAGCGCCCCGTGCGACGAGCTAGCGCCGCCTTTAGCCTGGCGGGGAGAAAACCACCACGGTGCGATGTTTGCCTGAAATCTGTTCACTTCGGCTGGTGTTTAGAGAAAGGAGATGAAACTCACTTGCGTAGTTTCCCCTCGATGATCCACTTGTTCTTCCTGTAGGTCGTCATGTTTTCTAATGTGTTGTCAATGTCACTAAAATTAAATTTTAAAAAAGTACAGATATAAGCAAAGCCAGAAACGTTTGATCTAGGAGCAGAATCTGAAATTTTAAGTCTCACTTCGTGACAATGTTGCTGCTGTTCAGCTCCTCCACCAGGTAACCCAGGATAGCAGCCTTGGTGTCGGGAGGCAGGATGTGGAAAGTTTTGGTCCTCAGTGTGTTGCAGACTTCTGTCTCGTAACCATGGGATTCTAAATAAATACGAAGGGCTTCTGAGACCGTGCTGCGGGTCAGCTCCAAGTCCACCAGCTTTTCTCCAAGAATCTTCACTGACTGTAGTGTGAGAGAAGGGATAGAAAATATAACGGCGTTTAACATTTAACAGCTGTTGTTGCTTTGATGCATGGAGTTATAGAGAACAGCAGGAGTGAGTCTTGATCACGTGACGTGTGACCTACTGTGGCAGCGGCAGCACTAACAAGACAAAAAGTGTCTGATTTTAGCCATCTAATGTATGTATCATGTCAGAAAGATGTTATGGATGAACCAACAGAAGAGAAAGAGGAAAACATCTCATTTCACAAAGAAGCAGATTTTATCTTATTTACCTCAATGTGGACGTGATCTGAGCAGAACTGAAGTTAATAATGTACCAGTTTAAAATTAAAATGAGTTTATAAAACCAATGTAATTATTGAACTGCTTCTGTAGCATATATTGTTATATAGAGTGTAGCACACTGCTGAATCATACTACAGTTTAACACAAATTATTAAATATCACAAACTAGTACTGCCTCATTATAAAATAATCATGTAAAATGTACACAGCGTGAAATAATATTATTTATTTAACAATTTTTAAGTTTCTATAAGACAAACCCTGACCTGTTGAGATGATGTTTAGCTAATATCAGTAGGGACGTGTTTCATCCTGTAACCAGGTATGTGGAGAACATTTTCTAAGTGTCAAATGGTACATTATTTTATTATTATTATTATTATTTATGACACGTAAGAAATAATAAATATACTTTATTAGTTGAAGTCAATTTTTTACTAGCTAAAGATTTTAAGTTATTGACTGACTTCAAGTCAGGTTTACATCATTACTTATAATTTATATATTTTTCTAGTATACATATAGCTGTTTTACATGAATGAAATTAACATAACTATTTATTGTAAACATATGTGACCCATCATATCAAAATGAGGATTAAGTTAAATTTGGTCAAAATGACCTAATTACATTTTCAAATTTCTGGCTTTAAAAGCTACATTTTGATACCTGGATCATCCTGATATCATAAGCAGATCCAGGGATATGACTTAATCTGTCTTGTTGGTTATGATCACACATTACTGTTTGGTCTGAATCCTAATTTCAATCAGGATGCTCCTGAAAATGCCAGAGGTCTATGGATTAGATCCTTAGAGCAACTGGACGAGTAAATAGTGGATAAATAGAGGATGCACGACAAACAGTGAGATGATTTACATTATCATGGGTTAACTAAGTTCTTCAAATTTGATTTTCTATATTTAAATACAATAAACAGCATAAATGTATGACTACGACATTTCAGAATCTAAGCTGTATGATGCAAACCTGATAGCTGCAGATCCTTTTCCAGCTATTGAGTGTGAATATTATAATGAAGAGCAATTTAATAATAGTAAAATGATAGATGCAAGCTTCTCTGTAATTCACCTAAATAGTAGAAGTATGAACTCAA